TCACATATTATTTTGCAAACTCCACAGTTAAAAATGTAATTGTTATATATCGCGGACAGCGCTTCATAAACTGTAAATATATGATACCACGAATTAAAGATTCACTTCGCCATATTATTTCCTTATATAAACACACAACTATTCACAAGGATTTATAGTTCTGGAAAAACTTGTATGTATATGTGTATGTATCTATATATATATATATATATATATATATATATATATATTATATATATATATATATATATATATATATATATATAGATACATACACATATACATACAAGTTTTTCCAGAACTATAAATCCTTGTGAATAGTTGTGTGTTTATATAAGGAAATAATATGGCGAAGTGAATCTTTAATTCGTGGTATCATATATTTACAGTTTATGAAGCGCTGTCCGCGATATATAACAATTACATTTTTAACTGTGGAGTTTGCAAAATAATATGTGATTAAAATGATTAATTACTACTGAATGACATAAATCAACATCTAAACGTATGAATATTTTCAAAAGATCTTTGAATTCAATTTGTAGCGCGCTCGAATATTCTAAACACATATTTCAATATTAAAATAATTTAAAATTAAATGATTGGTTTGATTTGTAATCATTTGTTGTATTTGAATGTATGTATTTAAATTAAATTATTATTTATCCTTATAAGTGCAATTCAATATTAAACATAGTGCACGTCATGTGTTTGCTACAACTACATAATTAAGTTGGCGTTGCCGTTATATGTTGTTTATTGCTGCAGATTTTTCAAAAATAAACAAAGTTGCTTGATTGAACAAATACTTCCATTTAAACTTTGCACAAATAAAATGCAATTGGCCTGGTTAATATTAGTGATTGTGCAAATTATTAAAAAAAAGAATATGAATAAACTTCTAATTAAATTAAAATTCTATTGCGTACGTTTTATAAATTATGATAAACGATCAAATTCTTTTACTATGGATGTGATATACTCGTCACAGATTATTCATTTAATTTAGATTTATTTAAAATTACGAATTTTTACAGATGTATAATATATAGTTGTATAATATATTCACTTATTTCAAGCGATTATTTTAAATATATATATATATATATATATATATATATATATATATATAATTTTGTTGTTTGTTAACGATAGATGACATTCAAAAACAATTATGCAGCAGCCCGGGTGAATGATAAAATTAGTGGTTATAATGTATTATAATATTTAATTATTAAATGTAATATTTTAATTTATTTATAAGCACATTCAAACATCTGATGGGCGGTTTGGAATATAATTACTTTAGTGAACATTTAGTACCTGGACATCAGAATCGCATGATCCAGAGGTGCCGGGATCATCTGAATCCTCAGAGCTGAATGGTGGTGCGAGAAGTGGTGGCGGATCTGGCGGTGCTGGTTTTGGATAAATAATGGGGTGTTTAGAAACGTATTTGCGACCGAATGCTGGTGGCAGTTCGCACGTGCCTGGAATGACAACTCGTTGCTGTGCAAATGCTGCTGGATATTGGTTCAGGCGTCTGCTGCCAGCCGGATTGACCGATGCCTGTGCTGCTTGTGCAGCAGCGCGGACGGCGGGAAACGGCGGCGTGATGAATACCGAGCGATGCGTCGCCGCGGGCAAAGCGACCGCTGCTGTTAGGGATTCCGGGGATGACATCACACTGCTTGCCGCGTCTCAGTCTGTGTTTAAAACGAGGCACTACCGAATGTCCGATGTCACACTAATCGCAGTATAATCATTATTAAATGCACGCATGTTTTAAACGCCAGTGTTGCCTTTTACACCTGATATGCTTACCGCGTGATTGATTCATCGATACTGGTCATCGATAGATTACGCGAACTGTCGGACGTGCGCCGGTATACTCCGACTTGTTTTGTTCTCATGGTCCTACTTCAAGCCGTCGAAAGTCGCGTGGAAATAGCGTCTAGCTATAAATAGTGTTGCTCCTGAATCGCCAGTGCTGTTCGCTGTGCCAAAGCGGTTTGTGCACATGTACATCATGTGCACTCGGACCGTCATCATAGCAGCAGCTGCTACTGTGAGTTTTTTAACGTTTAATGTTTCAAACTAACTAAACGTAAACAAATTTTGTGAATAGTTACTTCTTATTAACATGGAAATGTATCGGGAAGAAGCAAATGCAGGAGTCAAACTAGTATAGTTTTCTAAACTATGTTCTTGGTTAAAACGAGTACAATAAGACTAACAGAACGCATTGAAGACATTTTTGATATTATATATGACAAATACAATGGGTAGTTCATGAAAATGTATGTTATACTATTTTATATCATCTAATTTAATACATCCTTCTGTGTTTCAGCTATTTATTCTATTCTATATACATTTTGTATGTTTGGGAACTATTGTTTATATTTTATGTACATTACAAACAAAAATATTTAATAATCAATAATAGGCCTATAATGAATCGATATGTAAACAGGTTATATTTAATACAATTGCAATAAGTGACCTTTACTCAAACATTAAAAATCACTATTATGTTATGTTATATTATCACTATAAATTAGAGTCCTAAGATCATTCTATTTAGAATGAAAGCGCCCTTTGATATTGGTGCGAGAGAATTCTGTTAAGAAACAAGAAAGGAAACATCGCATGTTCAATTAATATTAACAAATGATTTTTTTTTTATTATAATGAATATTTTTAGATATCCCGAAAAACTTCAAGGTAGAATTGATGAAGGTAAAATACATAAGAAAGGCAATTACAACCATTTTCTTTTGTTTTTACCAGAGCAAATTTCCGTTGTATTAAAAGTATGCCCTTGTCAATTGTTACATATCACTAAAATTGAAAATTGCAATCGGATTTGACCAAAAAAAAACATACAGCAGCCTTTCCAATATACTACAACATCCGTTTCCAATATTATGACATAATGTATCAATATATTACATTTAGAGTTTGAAACTTATTTAATCTGATGAGAATCGCTTATCAAAACAGTTATTTTAAAAACGAGTTATTGAACAAATTGGTCCAGTATGGAAAATCGAAAATTGCTTATTAATATATATTTATTTTAAAAATGAGTGATAGTACAAATTGGTTCTAGAACGCAGCAAGACAAGCTCTTATCGCGTAAGTCATCTGCATTGTTCTTTCCGCTTCTATTTTACCTTAGATGACGTCGTGTAGGAGGCACTTTTTTTGCAGAATGGGTCCGATCCAGTTTCCATATGAAATTGAAAAAAAAATGATGCAAAGATTTTTATAACATCTTTATTGTTCCATACGTTTCGACGGAAAATTCTATCAATCGATTTGAATTTATGGTGAGACGTGCTGATTATTTCTTGGCAAAGATAGGTCTAGCCATTTTGAAAATACTGGGCAAAAGGTGCAAAAATGACAGTGCAGTTTTTGAGAAAACAGAGCGTCCGATTTAACTGATTCAAGAAACATCTCATTTGTATTGACTATATCAAAAACTGATTGAATGGTTGGTTGGGAAGGCAGTTCCAGCGATTTCGGAGTTCTAATGAAAAAAGTTAAAAAATGCCGTTTGGCGGTCAAAAATAATCATTCGGCATAAGTATGCGCATCAAATTTAAGAATTTGATTTATTAACATTTATGTTTAACCGTTAGACTGCAAATTTTCGAAATATTTGAAAATTAAAAAAAAATAACTAAATTTTAGAAAAAAATCTAACTTTTTCTTGAAAAATCGAATTTTTCAAAGTTTTCAAACCATTTTAAAGCTTTTAAAAATTTTAAATTATGGTGCTGGAAGTTTCAGCAATCTGCTTGAAGGCAGGATGTATATATATATATATATATATATATATATATATAACATACACATATATAAAATTGTAATTTTTAATTTCTTCATTTTTAACTTCCCGTAAGGCAAGTTATAGTAATCGCAAAAAAATCGAAAATGAAAATTTTTACATATCTTTACGTTTCGAAGTTTCTGAACATTTTTCTGAACTGTATGTGTGTGTGCTGATACAAATTTTCGTCAATTCAACCGATTTCAATTATTTAAAAAAAAAAAACATTCGATTTCTATTAATAAGGAGACGTGCTGATTAGTTTTTGACACAGGCAGGTCTAGCCGTTTCGAACATACGGGGCAAGAAGTGCCAAAAACGATAACTCAGTTTTTAAGAGAACGGAGCGTTCTATTTTGATAATTCAAAAAACTTTTTACTTATATTGACTAGAATGACTAGATGAACAACTGATTAAATTTTTGAGAAGGCAGGTCCAGCGGTTTCAGAGATCTAGTGAAAAAAGTAAAAAAAATGCCATTTTGAGGTCAAAAATGATCATTAGACATATGAACATCAAATTATCAGATATTTTATGGAGATTTTAATAATGTGTATCAATTTTGTTTACATATCTATGGGTTTCGTAACATCGTTTGTCCGTTAGACGGCGACGCGGCGCCTTCGCGCTTCGATTATTCGTCTCTATGCAGCTATAGCAGGGCGAATGCTTTGGAAAAAAATTCAAAGTTTCCAAAATATTTCAAAATGAAAAACATTTTTTGTCAAAAGTTTTTTTTTTCCAAAAAAGTCATTTTTTTTCAAAAATTTAAAAATTCTCAAAAATCAAATTTTTCAAAAATTTAAAAAAAAATAATCTTTTTTAAAAAGTTCCAGCAATTTGCCTTAAGGCCCGTTGCCATACACCACTAGTTCTACATTTTCTCACTTGGTGCTATGCCCAAATCAATTAACCTATAAATATACAGAAATATGCCCATAAATATCATTTGATCAACTAACTTATATATATATATATATATATATATATATATATATATATATATATATATATATATATATATATATATATACGCGCGTATATTACATGTATGTGCATTTATTTATGTACTTATATACACATGTATAAATGCATGCATACATATATATACACACATCGTCGATCCTCTGTCAATCGAATAACCTCAGCTATGGGATCGGGGTGTTGTACGGTCTTGACTGCTCTTGCTCGGTACGGTTGGTCGGTGGTAAATGGATGGTTGTTATTCAGTGCAGTACATCGTTTTATTCTGTTTTGGGGTGTGGTCTGTGAAATAGCAGTGATAATGTTTATTTTATTACATTGCTTTCAATCCAATATTTGACAATGATCGCAAAATTTCGTATACACCATCATTTTAATTGTCGTATTATTGTGATACCTCCATACGTCAAGCTCGCATTGTCAGTTGACAGATATCCGAGCATTGTTTGTTTACTCTTGAAAAGATTCAATTTTATATTATATTTTGGAACGAATATATTTAAAAATTTATAGAAGAGCGGAGATAGAATATATTATTATTTTTAAAAGACTTCGATATACAAAAATGACCCATAGAAATTACATGCAAAATTGGGCAATATCAACAAAATTAAAAAAATAATTAAGGGTCACTATTATAATGTCCCGTCTGGCTGATTATTTTGTCATAGTTGGGTACGACCACTTAAAAGAAAGTAAGTTACCACACATATTATTTGATTTAAATGTCTTATAAATTATGTTCGTAAATATAACCTCAAATGACATTATTTACATCAAACTTCTGACGTGTAGACTTTGTAAGACAATGTATAATTTATTTGTAGAATTATAGGTGGACCATTAGTGTTTTTTCATATAGATTGTTTATTTGAACTTCTTTGAAAGGCAAATTAGTTGTATGATTTTTTAATTTTAATTATATATTAAACCTTTTTTAATTTTAATTTTTTGAGGAAGCGGTGTCAGCAATGGAATTATTTTACAAAGGTTTCCGGAGAAAGATTGGCCTGATACACCTTTCATAGATGGAATAGAATGGGTATGTTTTCAAAAAGTTTATTTTATTTTGTGTAAAATTTTAAATTTGATATATGTATATATATATATATATATATATATATATATATATTTCATATTTTGTTAGTTTTGTCAACCACAAGGATGGGCTTTATCGACAGAGCGACAGGAGCCACGTTTCTTTGTATCAGTTCTCACTGATATTGATGCTAACCGACATTATTGTGCTTGTATGTGTTTTAATGAAACTGTTGCAATTATGCCAACAAAGCCAGTCGATGAGGTATTTATTATTTCCATATTTTTATTGTTCATAATGTGTTTTATGATATTATTGTATTACAATTTATTTTCTTTCTTAAAATTCAATTTAGAATATTTCAAGAATTTTAAAATAAATCTGCTTATATACATAAATTATATAGGGCATAAAAATGTGATGATAACTTCAATTTTAACATACAGAACCTCGATTATCCGGACCTCAGTTATACGGAATCGCGATTATCCGGACTACCAACCGCGACTAATTTATATGCATGTGCATATCTACAATTCGATTTTTTGCACATTGAGGTTCTACTGTATTTCTAAAATAAAAATCGTTCTTTGACTATTTAAATTTAATATTGAATTTTAACTCATTTTGGCTTGCTGTTTTTTGGTAAAAAAGTGTAATATTTTTTAATTTAAATTTAAAGTATTTACAAGTGAACGCAATAAGTGTAAAAACTTTTGACAGTGTTTATTAAAGCAAAATTCTTATGATTTTACTGGTTTACGTATACCATTCATACGGTTATATTTTATGTGCATGGCATACTTAGTTTTTTTTTTTGATAAGAATTTTGACAAACCATGCTCTGATTGTAAAAACAACAAAGCAAATAAGAAAATTATTTTTTAATCATTGAATTACGATTAGAGAGTTGATGTTTTTGTTGGCATATAAATTTTGGGCTTGGTATATATGCAAGTAAAGTTTGTTCTAATTCTACTAAATTTTGAACAGAAGCTCAGTAGATTTTTAATGACATTAGTGTTGATTCTGATTTCTTGGTTTGTAAGATGTGGAATATGATTATGATGCTGAAACAACTCCAAATCATTCATTTGTTACTTACTTAATGCTTATATTAATAAGAAATTGCTGAACGCAACAAATGCTTTGAATGTGCTATATACTTGAAATTGTGGACATATATTGGAGACATGTGTAACACAGTAAATGTTACTTGTGAAACATTTACTATAATTTATGTTTTTTATGTATATATATATAATACCTAAGAGTGTGTGTGTGTGTGTAAGATACTGCTTAATACATCAGCCTCTACTCTTTGAGACATATTGACCCTATTGCATGGATATTCTATGGATAAGGAGTGTTTTTAGTGTGGTCCCTAGGAAATCATTAATTCATCTCACTAGGAACATTTGTGAAAATAGTATGTGTTAGTAGGAGTTCTTTCATTAATGTTTTTTTTTCATGTTTAGGAGGAAGAAGAAAGTCCAATAGGAAGGAATTTAGTATCATCTATTACTCATCATAGTATAATGTTTGCTCCAAAATGCTTAGTCTTAGTCTCAAGGCTGGATTACATTGAAACATTTAGGGTATTTGTTTATTAAATATATAATTAATTTAAAATTTAAATGTATTCACTGAATATTTATTACAGAATTGCTTAGGTATTATTTATACTGTCTATATTGAAGGTATGGATATACCATTAGAGACATTAGTAGCAAATATCTTAGGATGTATTCAAGTGCCACCTCCTGGTGGACCACAAGTCAGGTTTAGCATTGGCGCTGGTGACAGGCAGTGTTTACAACCACCACTCTCCCCTTCCTTGCCTATTACACAAACTACTGTTAATCTCCTTTTTCAACAATTAGGTAAATTAGCTTTTCAAAATATTGAATCGAGCTTTTGTTTGTGCAAGATAGCTTTAGTTTCTAATTTTTTTTAAATATTACCATCTGATTATTATTATTACAAAATTAAAAGCATTTTTAATAACAAAAAAGTCATTATAGTGTATCACATCAAATTGAGCAATTGTTTAATCATTTTTTTATTATGTAGGTATTTGTAATGTTTTGAAATTATTTTGTGCTGTGATGACGGAACATAAAATTTTGTTTCATTCAAAAAGTTACTCTCGTTTGACTGATGGCTGTCGTGCTTTAACTGCTTTAATGTATCCATTCAGGTATGATAAAATATTTTATTATTTTTTGTTATAAATCTATATAATAAATTGTATTTTTTACAGATATAGCCATGTTTATATTCCTTTGCTTCCTGCAGCATTAGTAGAAGTTTTGTCTACACCAACACCTTTTATTATGGGTGTTCATAGTTCTTTAAAATCTGAAATTGATGAACTGGTGAGTTCTAGTTCACTCGGATGCGGAAAGAATGGAAAAGTATGAAAACGATTATATGGATCTTGATAAATTAATTCGTAATTGAGTTTAATCAAGACAGAGCAAATTATGAAAATGAATTTTTTATTTACTTAAAAGCACTTCCATTTATACACTATAAGTTTTATTGAATGACTAGATAATATCTTAATTACATATCCAAAGTTATTGATATTTAAATTACAATTTATTAAAATTTCATAAATATAAAGCAATCGATATTTAAATATAACTGCAACAGCTAAATAAAAAACCGGTTCATGCTTATTTGTAGTTCTAAAGTTGTTTATTCTTCTGTCTTGTTATAATTTTTTAACACTGTCATCAAAAGTATTCTACATTTGGCAATAGGTATTTGAATATGCATAATATATAAATAGATATTAGGTAATATTAGATACTATATAATATAGAAATTTAATCACTTGGTAATAGGAATTTGAATACGAGCGGGCATTGATATTTGAATTTAATTTTACAGTACATACATTACACTTCGATTTTTTATACATTTTTCATATAAGTTTATTTTAGGCTTTCGGTTACTATTTGGTTTTCGACATATTCGGCACCTTTTTTGATATTTGTTTTGTGTTTTATGCGATAAAGAGCTTGAGGTGGATATGGTTTTGGAAGTCCTTAGTTAACATAATATAATATAAAGAAATGATTTTTTATTGTATATATAATAACTTGAACTCTATCGACTTTTGAGATTATAAACAAACATGTGAAGAACTCTTTTCTGAATATTGAATAACATATCATTTCAATATGTTATTGTTATATGTTTGCTATTTATTGTGTTGTAAGTATATACAATAAAGTAATTCATTATAGTCAATCTAAGCATTTTTGTAGGATCTTTATTGCATAAAATACAAATAATATTTTTGGCCAGTTTTTCTCATCATAATCTTTCACTTCTTCATTTTAATTATGATTAAGCATCCTATTATATAAGAAATAATATTATGTTTATAAGAGAAATATTAAATGTTCACAAAAAAAATTAAAGGATTAAAACAGAAAAAAATGGAAACTTGTACTTGTATGTATATATATATATATATATATATATATATATATATATACACCTAAGTCTGTTTTTACACGGAGATTGGTTCCAGAAGAAGCCGTGTAAAAAAAAAAACGTGTAAAAAAAGACATTGATCTTATACAAAAATGGGTGATTTGTTCCTAATCTCTAAAACCTATTAAAATTGGTGAAAAACAAGAATTTTTAAGAACAAGAATTAAATTAGTGCTATTCACATTTGCTTTGACCAGTAAAAATTGTTTGTACGCGCTAAAGGGGAATTCACTTAAATCTTTAAGCTAGTGTTCGCAAATTATCGATACAATCGATGGTTTCAGACTTTTTTCTTTCATAAATACTTTTTTGTGAAATGAACATACTTCGCAAAAATTTAATTTAACAAAAAAAATTTAGGTACATAAAATTTCAAATCGTGCTAAATGGAATAAATTCGTGTAAAAAAATTAAAAATATTCAATTTTCAAACCGTGTTATATCAAAACCGTGTACAAAAAGACCGTGTAAAAACAGACTTAGGTGTATATGGAGGGCATAACATCAAGTAACTGTCAATTGACAGAAATTAAACTTGCCTGGAGTGATCGACATCTCAGTTACTTAATTTCTAAAAAATATTTTATAAAAAGTGATCTCTATCACTTAATGCTTTTTTTCAATTATTAATTATTTACAAGATATGGGTTTTTAATATGAATTAATGTTAATCTAAGAATTTCAAAACCACTGATAACTTTTACGTCGAAACGTAATAACTAATTTTAACGGAAAACTAAGAATGTTTCAAAAATCTATACTTTATTTATTTACATATATATATGTAAATAACTTGAACTTTATATATATATATATATATATATATATATATATATATATATATATATATGTATATATGTAAAAAATTGCTTTGTATATTAATTTACCATTTATTGTCCTATAACATATGTTAATTAAGTGTTTGGTATTTGGTCAAAAAGTATACACGAAATCTAAATATCTAAATGACAAAGAGGCATAAAACTGGAATAAACAGTTGTGCGTTAGTTATATAACAACTGCCGATAGTGATTAACTGCCGAATTAGTTGCCAAATATTCTATTTGTTCAAGCCTAGTTTATTTATTGGAAAATTAACATACTATTCGCTCACAGTACAATACTCACGGATTCAACAAAAGAAAAAAATATACATAATCTGTGTTGTGACTTGAGATACCAGAGTTTTCTCAAATAATATTGATTTTTTTTATTTTTGTATCACCTGTGTATCGAAACACTTCATACTTGTCAACACAAAATTCAATATTCGATATATGCAATGATTTGTTTCAACAATTATTTATTTTTAGATGGATGTTATAGTAGCTGATTTGGATGGTGGATCTATAACTGTGCCTGATTCTATCACATTACCACTTTTGCCAGAACCTTTGTTGAGTACAACTCAAGAACATTTGAGTTTAGTGCTACAGCCTGAATTATTATGTGCAGATCATGCATTTCCACCACTAGTGTTAAGAGCTCCAATGCCAGCTATGCTGGATAAAGAAATAAGGGCAGTATTTATGAGGACATTTGCTCAATTGCTTCAAGGATATAGGTATTTTCAGAATATTTTTATACCCATATACAGTAAATCCTCGCTTTACGCGGCAAGTGCGTACCGTGCAGTATGGGGACCTTGCTATAAAAAACTCGTATTTAGCATACAATTCAGGGTAATTCGTAGTGCGTTCTATGGAACGCTACATAGTGCAGTATGGGAACCGTGCTATGAGAGTCTCAGAGTTCGTACAAATCGCACCATTTTTATCGTGCTGTATGAAGACCAAGAAATACAACTTGAAGGTAGGAGTAATACGGATGAAATGACATGTATGACAATGACACCTTATTCAAAAATTTGCGCGCCGCAGTAGTCAGCTCAAACGTGTTCCTAGGCAGCTATTATATAATCAGGCATGCCTAAAAGATGAAAGTCGATAACAAAACTTGCATTAATACCCTTTTGATATCAAGTTACTAGAATCACTCATAGGTTGCACAACGAACTTATGGGCTGTTGACCAAATACAGTGTAATAAGAAGTTTGTGTAGTCAGAGGGAAGTCGGATTTTTAGCTCCATGTAGTATGGGAACCGTGTACCCAGAGTGCCGTGTAAAGCGAGGGTCTACTGTATATATATATATATATATATATATATATATATATATATATATATATATATACATACATACATATATATTTACTATTTTTTTGTTATATTTTATATTAGAGTGTATCATATTTGTAAATTAATTATTACATAACTATTTAGTTAACATATTAGCATGTATTTTATTAGTAAAATTATCATAATAGTAATATAATTTTTTTGTAAATATTAAAATGATATTTTGTTTGCTTTTTATTTGCTTGTAACATGTTGGCTACCAATTATAAATTATGTTGTTCTCTGAAATTTGTGTTATGAATTGTTTCAACTACAATTTAATTCATAAAAAATATTAGAAAATCATGTTACTGCTGTTGAAATAAATATAATTTAATAAAGATAGATAATCGAAAAATGATAACAACAAACCTTTTGCTGCAAATTATAAAAACCTAATAGAGAAAATTTGACCAATTTTGCAGATCTTATTTGACTCTTATAAGAATTCATCCAAAGCCAGTAATAACATTTCATAAAGCTGCCTTTCTTGGTGAAAGGTCACTTTCTGATTGTGACTTTGCTCAAAGGGTACTAGAATGTATGTTTTTCACTGGTTTTGTTGCAGAACGTGGACCACCTTGGAGGCCCTGTGATGTTTGGGATGAGTTGTATAGGTAATTATTTATAATATATAGATTTGTGTGATAGTATAATTTAATGTTATTAATTTTTTTGTTTTTCAAGTGCTTATAACAGTTTTACTTTCTCACAGTAATTTACCAGATCAGCTGAGATTAGAAAGTCAAGATCCTCACTTAGTTTTGGTTCATATACAAAACTTAGCACAACAATTGTACACTAATGAAAATCCTAACCCACAACCCTATAAAGAAAAGGTATGCTTAGAGTGCTTTTGAAAACATGATCTGATAAAGTGTTCAAATTATAACAAACTAACTAACCACTAAATGGCTAATTTTTTTTTTAATGGTTTTAGATATTAAAACCACCTGATGGATCTTTTGCAAGAATTCATCAACCTCCCTTGCCTTCTTTTAATGCTGACCAAGTTCAGGCAATAATAGATGAAGGACTTTCGAAAAATAATTTGCAGGCTAGGTAGTATGCTTTATTTTATTTTGGAAATAATTTTTAAAGACCAATATTTGTAGCTAGTGAAAGTTGCAGTCTTAAGATAAGTTGCAATAAGTTCCCGATAGATAGATAATTCCATGTCCTAAAATTGTAGCTTATTATTCTAAATTTTAATTAATTTATGTACTTTAACCAAATTTTCTTAGGGCTGTTTAATGCATAAATTTTATATCCTTGTTAAATTTTATCAAAAGCATTTTTGTTTTAAAATAAATTATTTTGTGAAATATTAAACAAATGCTATAAGAAAACAGCATGATTAAATTAAATTAAATTAAATTAAACATCTTGGCACAAATTTTGACTATCATATTTTTTCAAACTACGTCCGTGATATCTACCAATATAAAAAGTTTCATTGAAAATTATTTTTAAACAATTAATTACGAAGAAACAGCTCGGCCGATCTTTGTCCAAAATTAATCAGCGCGATTCCCAAATAATATTGAAATCAAATCACTTGTTCTAGGGCCTCAATGTTGTAAGTATGTTTTATTAAACCATGATATCTATCGCCTAAGTAAAGTGTTATAATTAAAAGAAAACGGCGATTTTAAATTTTCGTTTTTGAGAAAACGTCGACGAAAGGTCGGCTCACTTACACACGCACATACTTGGGTTTCACAACTTCACCTTCGGGAAGTTGAAAATGTCAAACTACTGATTAGAAACATAATTGTTTTCTAATATTAATTTATTTTAGATTATCTTCTTTGAGACCATTGCAGTCCAGGATTGTACCTGTAGGATCACATATTGCTAATATGTCAGATTCTCGAAATCTTATAAATAATTCTGCTAGAAGATTAGAGGTAGGATTTATTGAATTTTGTGTTGTTTGTTTTCAACTTTATCAATATAATCCTTATTTGTTGTTTATTTCAGGTTTTAAAAAATTGTGTTAACTGTATTTTTGAAAATAAAATTGCTGATGCTAGAAAAACGTTTCCTGGTGTGATACGTGCTCTCAAAAGTAAAGTTGCGCGATTAGCTCTCTGTACTGAACTATCTCAAAGAGTACTTGGCAATAAAGCTATGCTTGAACATCAACAATTTGATTTAGTTGTTAGGTGATGACTTTTTTGTTTAACATTGTAGTATATTTGTTTTATATTTATGCTTATATATATATATATATATATATATATATATATATATATATATATCAGGTAACCCCCTTACAACAGGGTAGTTACGTTCTAGAAAACTAGTGTGTTATGTGAATATAAGGGACAAAGCGTATAATGCGTGTTATAGGGGACAAAGAACTAGTACAAAAATAGGGGTTACGTTCCAAGAATTGAAAAAAAACATGCTACATATCATGATTTTATAATAAATATTATTACATTTATTCATTATTTTAAGTAGTAATATGCATTACTTGAATTATATGATTTTTTTCGTCATAATTTACAAGTAAGTGCTATCCAACATGATTCTTTTTTTGCAAGATATTCTCATCCTCTGAGCAGTTTTCTATATTACCTCCGGATTCGTGCATTATTTTTTGCAAAAAAAAAAAAAATATATTTGCGATTACTTGCTTTTAGCAAAATGACATTTATACATTTAACACATGTAAAGTAATCTTTATTAAACTTTTATGCTCATTTTATTTATTTAAAGAATTGCTTAAGAATTTTTTTTTTGATAGAACGTACGCGCTCTAATAATATACATCAAATTAGTTATCTTTTGCATTAGTTTCATCACATTTATTGAGCTATTGTACGGCGATTTTACTAATTTCAGATCAAATAAAGTTTGCTTTTCGCAGGTATTACTATATTTTTATTTTATTAAAACCTTCCTCAATTCTTAAACCGTGTTATGCGAAGCCGAAAGTACCGTGTTTGAGGGCGATGGTTTCAATTCTTAAACCGTTTTAGAGCGAATCCGCGTTTTAGAGGTACCGTGTTATATGGGGGTTACCTGTATATATATACAGTAAACCCTCGCTTTACGCGGCAAGTGCGTACAGTGCAGTATAGGAACCGTGCTATAAGTAACTCGTATTTAACATACAATTCAGGCTAATTCGTAGTGCGTTCTATGGAACCTTACATAGTGCAGTATGGGAACCGTGTTATGAGAGACTCAGAGTTGGTACAAATCGCACCATTTTTATCGCGTTGTATGGAGACCAAGAAATACAACTTGAAGTAGGAGAAATAAGGACGAAATGACGTGTAGGACATTGACACCTTATTCAAAAATTGGCACGACGCAGTAGTCAGCTCAAACGTGTTCTTAGGCGGCTATTATACAATCAGGCATGTCTAAAAGATAAAAGTCGATAACAAAATTTACATCAATACCCTTTTGCACAACGAACTTATGGGCTGTTGACCAAATACCGCGTAATAAGAAGTCCGTGTAGTCGGAGGGATGTCGGACTTTTAGCTCCGTGTAGTATGGGAACCGTGTAACCAGAGTGCCGTGTAAAGCGAGGGCCTACTGTACATGTATATATATATATATATATATATATATATATATATATGTGTGTGTGTGTGTGTGTGTGTGTGTGTTGTGTTGGTTTGTTATCTGGTATAAATTCAGAAAGTTTTGCACCGATTGAGTTTTAAATTGAGTTGAAATTTTTGCACAATATATAATCCTCATCTAGAACTGTTCGTATCTACTTTTTGCATCAGTCACATATCAGCGACTGCAAAAACAGCTCTTTTGACTGCCTGTTTTCAATATATCAATATATTCAATATATTATATATAAAAAGAGTAAACATTGTTTAATGACATATGCCAATTTCATTCTATTAAATCAATCAATTTTTGTGTGATTGTGTCTTGACCGAACTATAGCTTCTAATAAATTGTAAGTAGAGTTTCTATTTAGACTTTTTATAAATAATTTAGTATAAGTTTACTAATTAATTATACGGATTGACAAGAAAAATATTACTTATTTACATTTACAACCACGTTGAAGATTTTAGGAAAACATTACCTGTAGTTTCTTGAACAACAACAGCAGACTAAATAAATGCTCGCACATGAGATATTAATATTCAATAATATTGCGCAACATTGCATTGCACTACGAATTGCGTGTCAATTTGAAAAATTATCTATTAGCTAAGGTATTTTCTCGACATGATTAAAATCTAAATCATGATTAGCTCAGTAAACCTATCAGTGCTCCAAAAAATGAAAATGTGTTAATAACGCTATTCAATCCTGTATTCAAAGTAATAAAATTACATATAATTTGATAGATACCATTGCGGAAGCTGATAAAGTAGTTAATTATCAAACTTTTTTTTTTAAACTTACTTGATCTGCTAGGGTTAACATCGCATTGAAAATAGGTGTGTCAATTATCCTCTTGCGGAATATTAATAAGAAAACGGCACATGAATTGCTGCTAAAAAATTAATGATGTACGTAGTAGAAGCAATGATTTTAACGGAGCCTTTGAAAGGTGAAGATGTTGTCATACCTTGAATACCCACAATATATTGACAGGTACAGCATTTCAATTTAAAAGATTCAAATTTCCAGTTCGGTTGGAATTTGTAATCACAATCAAAAAGCTTAAGGTCAAATTTTAAATTTGCGTGGCTTAGATTTAGACAAAGATTAATTTTTGTATGGACATCTATATGTTGCTTATTTCAGAGCCAGGAAACCCACCAGTGGAAAAACAAAAATATATTGTGTATCCCGAAATATTGCAAATTCAAACTTTTATGAAATTTATATTTTGTTTTATTTTTTATTTCTCAACCAAACACAATTTGCCAGAGCAAAACGTATATATATATATATATATATATATATATATATATATGTATACGTATACATATACGTATATAATGTTTATTTGCAGTGAAAATAAAAGGCAATAAATAATTAGCTATTTACTATGTACATTTTTATGTAATTTTTTTTACAATTTTAAAATAATTTTACAATTTGTTAATCATGTGATTTACTACATGATTTAATTATTTAACATTTATTTCAGTTTATTGGTTTGTTTCTTAAACAATATCTTTGAAATTTGTTTGTGTTTTTTTCCTGGTTTGAGTTTGTTGACTCACTGAAGGATGACAAACATACATTGTTGAAACCGACATAATAAATTAAATAAGTTAATTATTTATTGCTTTTTATTTAGACTATCTGACTTGTACATGTTCTTCATATATGCTCTGATATATAATTTAGTATTTTTATAAATGTAAAAGCTTTGTATGTAAATAGTTTTTAAGTAATATTGTTCTGAAAAATAATTATTTTAGCATATTTTAGATTAATGAATTGCGCTTTACAAGATGACTCTGCTTTGGATGAGCATGGTGTTGCTGCTGCATTGCTTCCACTAGCAACAGCATTTTGTAGGAAATTACGAACTGGTGTTATTCAATTTGCTTATACTTGTATACAGGTAGGAATGAGCTTATTAGAAATAAGAAAACCTAACTTTATAATAAACATACCACGTTTCTAATTTTTAAAAAAGGAACATCCAGTTTGGCAGAACCAACAGTTTTGGGAAGCAGCATTTTATCAAGATGTTCAAAAAGATATTAAAGCTTTATATTTGCCAAGACCAGATAATAATCCATCTACATGTTGGCCCGAACCCATTAATCCAGGAAGTCCTAGGTGATCAATGTTTTTTTTTTTGTTTTTTTTTTTAGTGAAAATGCTTTTCAATATTTTTAATTTATATGGAAAGTATTTCCATTCAGAGTAAGGAGAAATATTTTGAGTGATCAATATTAATTTGATCTTTTTAGTGAAAATGTTTATTATATATTTTTAATTTATAGGGAAATCAAAGAATTTCCATTTAGAGAAAGGAGGTCTATATTGAGTAGAGTTCAAGAACCATCTGCTTTGGAAATTGCTGCTGAACAGATGCGCATCTGGAACACAATAGAACCAGGTTTCTATTAATTTTTAATTAATCATATTTCTAAAAATACAAAAAAAGATAATACTGATATTATATATGTAGAAAAGCAGCTGGAATTATTAACTAGTGAGGAGAGTACAATGTATAGTCAAGCAATACATTATGCAAACAGAATGGTTTATCTTTTGATACCTATGGAATCTAGTCGAAATCAAAATTATAACCCAGCTTTGGATGAAGAACGAGCTAGCAATAGCATAACCAATAGGTATGCATTTATGAAAAATTCAAAGTATATTATTGAAATATTATTATGCTTTTATGAAAAATTAGGTTTAGTAAAAGATACTTATATCCTCAATCACTGAAGGCGTGCTTTTATTGGAGTCTTTTATATATAAATACATATAATATACATATTTATAGAATATAGTTACATATCTTCAGAATATGGAATTATTTGTATCTATAATATAATTTTATTGGTTTCAATGCAATTAAATAATATTGTTATTGTTGTTGCTTTGTGTTCATATGAATGTCCTTGCTTTGCAGCATTGCTGAAAGTGATAGTATAGATGCTGAGTCAGGTTTTGAAGATCAAGATGCTAGTGAGCCTGGAGCAACTGTCATTAGAACAGTTTCTAGATTTGTTGATAAAGTTTGCACAGAGGGTGGAGTTAGTGCTGAACATATACGAGCTTTACATCAAATGGTACCTGGAGTTGTCCATATGCATATTGAAACTTTGGATGCTGTACAAAGGGAATCTAAAAGACTTTTGCCTATACAGAAGGTAAATTTATGATAAACATTACCAATTGTGTTATATTTGATAACAAATATCTAATAATAACACATATGTTAATAATTTAATCAGCAACGTGATGTCAGATATTTGATATTTAAAATTACGCCTCCCTAAAAACATCACATGTATTTTTAGCACCTAGGAAAAATCGTACATTTTTTAATTTTTTTTTTGAAAAATTTTCTATTTTTTTAATTGAGGTACAAACAAACAAAATTTTAGTGTCAGAAAACAATTACATAGTATACTATTGTGTTTTTACTAAAATTTATGTTTGTAATATGTAATATTTTTTATACAAACCAACAAAGTTGCATTCATTCTTTTACAATTCATTTGTAATTGATCACCTTCAAAAAACTGTTTCTTATTTGGATTTACTGTTCAGGAAACAAACTAATAAATTAATGAAATATGCAGAATTTATCACTACTTTTTCTAATTAGAAATTATTTTATTTATCAAAGTGATACTTAAATCTCTTTTTTTCACATTGTATATTGTGTGTTTGATTTTTGCTGATTATAATGAATTCTTTTTTTCGGTCGCCTAATGATGCAATGAAATTTTTTATTTTTGCTCTAAACTATTTCTTTATTCCTAGATTTAATTTTTAGTAGTTAATTTTTAGAGCATTTCATTAGTAGCATTTAACTATTTAACATTTATTCGTTGTGTAGCCAAAGATTCTGGTTCCAACAATGTTGGCGGGAGAGTGCACACTTATCGACCCACTTCGAGTTTATTTACTGGCAGATGGACGTGAAGAAGGAATATCAGGGGCGTTAGGTGGACCTACCTTACTTCCCGCAGAAGGAGCTATATTTTTAACTAACTATAGAATTATTTTTAAGGGCACACCATGTGATCCTCTCGGTGAGCATCAAAATACTATTTAAGACTAGACTTGCTAAAAAATAAGTACATGTATTTTATTGTTATCAACTTAGGGTAAGTTATTGTAATCGTCCAAAAATCAAAAATGAAAATTTTTGCATATCTTTACGTTTCAAAGGTTTCTGAGCATTTTTTCACGCCTTAGAAAAAATTGATTATGTATGTATATGTGAATGAGTGTGTTTTTATGTCTGTATGTATGGACACAATTTTTGGTCCACGTTTTCGGGAGCACTGGTCAACCAATGTGAAATTTTCAAAAAGCAATTGATTCGTATAGATAAGGAGATCTGCTGATTAGTTTTTGGCTAAAATTGGTTCAGCTGTTTTAGGGATATGAAGCAAAATGGAAATTGAGTTTTTGAGAGAACAAATCATATGATTTGAATGATTAGAAAAAAACATATTGCTTGTGAAGGAACGATTAGTTTTGAAAGGCAATTTTTTTTTTTCAAAATTAAAAAAAAATTTGGAAATCTTTTATTTCCATTTTTTTTAAATATCAAAAATGATTCGGATTTTAGTTTTAATTATAGCTAACATTCTAAAACTCTCTTAAATACTTCAAATAAATAATTTTAGTTTTGCAATTCAATTTACATAATTCTTAGAAATATGATCATAGCTCATGATGAATTCTTTCATTCTAACTCAGCTTAATCCAGTTTTATTTGCTGTAATATTCACGATATTCTGAATTTTATAGCTTGTGAACAGACCATTGTACGATCTTTTCCTGTTTCATCTTTAACTAAAGAAAAAAAAGTCAGTGTAAACTATATGGCTCATTTAGATCAATGGCTACAGGAAGGCTTACAACTTCGATCTTGTACTTTCCAGCTAATCAAGGTATATGTGGTAAAATATTTTATATAAAGGAATAAAAATCTCATAATATATATTTTTTAGATTGCATTTGATGAAGAAGTTACTGCAGAAAATATTGAGGCTCTTAGGAAAACGATAAATAAAGTAAGAAATCCACCTGACGTTTTTCACCATTTTGCATTTATTGGGCAAGTTGCTGTATCACAGACTCCTATGCATAAAGATACAGAAAAAAATGCAACTTTAAGGTAATAAAACTTTTTTATAAGTAAAATAACTGAGTTAATGACAATTAAAACTATTTCAGAGGTTTTGCAAAGAAGACTCTACTAAAAACTGCTCGTAAAGCTGGTTTCAAACAGAAAGTCTCAAGTAAACGACAAAAATATGTTTTGCCAAATCTTGGTATAGGAAATACGTTCAGTGGTTCAAAATACCTTACATCGCCAGTGAGAAGTCCTCAAACAAATTCAGAGGAGTTTCATGATGATGATTTATCTAGTCAGTTTCTCAACATAATTAAATCATTTTTCAAAATTTAGAATAATTTTATTTAAAATTAATATTTCAGTTGATGATTTCGATCTCACTGTTCCAAACAGTATATTGTCAACACCAACTGATGCAAAAACATTGGAGCGTCTGTCAGAGCGCAGTTATGTGCGTGATTGGCAACGACTAGGTTTATGTACTGATCAGAAGAAAGATTTTAGATTAACGAGTGTGAACAGCACGTACTTAATGTGCAGGAGGTAATTTTTATTATGTATATCTATACAAATTTGTTTTGTAAATAAATGTATATATATATATATATATATATATATACACATTTATTTACAAAACAATTTGTAATATGAGTGGAATGACACTACACTTCCTTTTTGCACACCCTTTATTTCATGATTACAGACGTTTTGAAATGGTATAATTTGGAACAGTAAAAAGTATATAACTAATACATTATCAAATTTTTATATAAATAATACATTATCAAATTAGGGGGCGTCCATTAATTACATGACCGTTTTTTAAGGATTTTTGGACCCCTCCCTCTTCCTTGGTGATATTCAGTGATATAATTACTCCCCTTCCCTCACCAAACGTCACATGTATTTTTAGCACCTAGAAAAAATTATTTTAGATATTTTTGATTTTTTTTTTTTTAAATTCAGGTAAAAAAATAAGTATGTATAATTGTTGCTTGACATGTGCTTTGTACGCAGGGTTTCATTTATGATTCAAGTGAATAAAATTAAATATTTTTATAATTCCTTTACATCTAATTTATTTTATTCAATTGAATGCTATTTCATAAATCATTGATGTATTTTCTTCGATGACTTTTATTATGCAATTTTTATCCACCACATAAATAAAATTTGAGGCAGTATATCGGACAAAGTTATTCATTATATTTTTAATTTATAAAATTTTTGAATTTTTTTTGCACGATTTCTTTTATACCGTATCAAAAACCGCACCAAAACTGGATTTAATGTTTATACATACATATGTTTGCTCTTCTGAACAACAACACATATATTGTTTGATCATAAATATTCTCTAATGTTTAATGGTTTTTGTGTATTGATGTATTGGCATTTACTTTTACGCTACGAGAATGTGTTTCGAAAAAGTATATACACACACACACACACACACACACACACACATATATATATATATATATATATATATATATATATATATATGTATATATAAACATGCTTATTAAAAAGATCTAATCATGCAATGCATTTTTTAGTAAAACTATTGTTTTATGAAAAACACTTAATTTCTTGTTTAAATTTTGCAGTTATCCCGCTCTCTTAGTAGTACCTGCTAATGTATCAGATGAAAGTCTACAAAAAGTAAGTCGTTGCTACCGCCATGGCCGTTTTCCAATAGTAACATGGAAACATAGCGGCTCAGGTGCTTTACTTATACGCGGTGCCGGTTTACATGCCAAAGGTGTAATGGGAATGCTGAAAGTACATCCTACTTCAAGTCATGCATCTCACAGTGAACACACTTCAGTGGAACAAGTATTATTTGTTATAAATATAAATATGTATATATATATATATATATATATATATATATATATATATATGATGATAGTTTTCTCGACGTTAATACATATTTGTAATATTTTTGCAGCCCAATCGTCGAATTAAAAAAAAAAAAATTAAATAACAAAATTATTTATTCCATTAAACGTTTCGACACTTGATGTGTGTCATCATTCAGTAATCTAAAAAACATATAACATAAATACAAAGTTGATGCTAAATACAAATGTATAAAAAGGAGGAAATTATACATACCAAACCAGGAAAAACAAACAACAGCAAAAATTAATTATGATGTAAAATTGATTGAACACTAAATTTTTGTAAAATAATAAATACTATTATATTAACAAACAAGAAATTGAAGGAACACATATTGCCCTCCCATATTTTATGTTATTAATAGCGGTGCATTATGGACACTTCAATTTTTTCTGTTGTTTTTCCTGGTTTGGTATGTATAATTTCCTTCTTTTTATATATTTATATTTATCATCAACTTTGTATTTTTGTTATATGTTTTTTGGATTACTGAATGATGACACACATCAAGTGTCAAAACGTTTAATGGAATAAATAATTTTGTTATTTAATCTTTTTTTTTTAATTCTACAATTGGGCTGCAAAAATATTTCAAATATATATATATATATATATATATATATATATATATATATAATGAAATTGTTTCTTGGGCATCCATCCTGATTTTACTTGTAATACAATTTCCAAACTAACAACATGTTTGTTTGGAATAAGCTTTTTTATAATAAAATATATCATTTATTTTAATTTTACATTTTTTTAAATTTTTTAAATTTTTCATAACTAGACGTTTCATCAATTTTTTATTTCACATTTATTTATTTTTTCGTGCAATTTTGTGTTTCTGTGTTGTTTTTCAAAATTTATTTGTATGCACTGAAGATGGGTCAAATCAGGACCCGAAACGTATGTTCTTAAAATAAAAACATTTTTCATTAAAACTGTTTTTTAATTACTGGATGGATGCCCAAGAAACAATTTTATTAGAAAAACCTCTCGCTTTATATATATATATATATATATATATATATATATATATATATATATATAGTCTTGAGTTTGATGTTGGTATAATATATTTTGATTATAAGATCGGGCATTACTCTAATGAAAAATAGTATGAGAGATTTTAGAAATACATTAAAAATCCATACATCGCGGTTATGATTCAGTGGCAATATATAACTATAAAAATTAAAACTAAATAAATAATTTTGTAAGACTTTTTAAAGAAAAACAATAATAATGATAATAAAAACACTTACAATTTGGTACCCTTGTATAACAGATGAAAGCACTATTACTCCATGGCATGAGCATGTGCACAGTAGTACAATATATATAGTTTAACATCACAAATGCAAATCACACAAAAAACATAACGGATAGCATCCTCTTTTTGTCTATGATGCAGTATGCCCTCTCTTTTAGTTTTTGATTCAAATTATTTGTTATGTGTTGTTTTTTGTTATTAAAGTTTTTTTTTAAACTTATAAGGTTTTATGTTTATGTATTGGTTTGATTGGCTGAATGATGATACACAACAAGTGCCGATCAATCATGAGTAGTCACATATATATATCACAAATATCAGTCGCAAAGCAAGGAAATATTTGAAGTTGTAAAAGGAATCAAATAAACCATCCAAAAAAACATAGTACAGTAGAACCTCGATTATCCGGACTAATTGTTGTCGATAGGCATCCAGATAATCAAAAATCCGGATAATCCAAATGATGAAGAATAATGTTTTGTTTATCAAAAATAACAAATACATACATAGATATCAACAAAAATCGATGTTTATTAGAAAATTAACGCTTTTTTCTCACAATTAGATTACATTATACATATTATATTAATCATGAGGTAAAATATTCAGGTGGTACGTAAAGTATCAATGAAGAAGAAAAGTTGCTTACGAATAATTTGTTGATCATTTTTGTAAAAACCAACAATATAAAGCTTCTTCTAAGAGTTATTTTTTTGGTCTGTTCATTTTCCGATTTTCACTCCCCTCTTTACTATCTAACTTGCAAGTATACGACAAAATTGACTCGGCATTCTTTTTGCAAGTTCCGACGCGATTATGTCTGGATAATCCCGAATCCGTATAACCGAGGTCCGGATAATCGAGGTTCTACTGTATATAATTATGTTTACTGTTTTATATGAACATTAACAGCTGCAAAAATTACATAAGGGTTACTTTAATTTTCTACAAATGTATGTTAGTTTGAAAATGAATATTATGATTTTTTTTCCAGGATCGTTATATAATAGCTTTAGTCTCTGGAACCGCAGGTCCAAGCTTACGTGGTGGTTGGGGAATGTCTGATAGTTCCCTAAGCATAGACTCGCTAATTTTGGCTGCTGATGATCATGTTACTTCTACATTAACACCCGAAATATGTAGGAGGCAAAATCAAGTTAATAAAGCTATTGGGACCTTGGGGTAATTTATGTCATGAATTTAAATGAGTTTTATGATTTATAATTTGATGGAAAATTGATAAGTTTACCTCTTTTTGTAGTATGATAATATCCTTTCTATTGTAAACTTTTTTGATATAATCGTATAATTGTAGTGTTCTTCCAAGATCCAGCGGATCTAAACCCAGTGGTGTCGGTCGTTGGGGTTCGCTGAAAGATCGCAGAACGAATTCTCAGGCGTCATTTATACATTCCAATCGAAACTCTAAGGTTCCTGATGTTGAAAGTAAGTTGACATATACATGTTATATATATATATATATATATATATATATATATATATATCACATCAGTGTATATCTTAACTAAAATATTATTAATTTGTAGATTTGATTACCTAATTAATAATTGTAGTTTCAGAAGGTGTGCACAGTCTGCAAAAAGCTGCATTATACATTCTGGGAGAAAAAGCCCAAACTAAAATTTCCAGATATGAAGGTCACAGAATTGAATTTATTCCCGTAGAATTTATTGATGTTAGACATTCTAAAGTTGCATTCAAAAAACTAATGAGAGCTTGTGTACCTAGTGCCTCATCTGCAGAACCCGAACAGAGCTTTTACAAGTGAATAGAATAATCAAATACATATTACTAATTCAATTACATATTAACTATATCTGTATCTTAAATAGATTATTAGAGAGTTCTGAATGGTTGCAACAATTACAGAGCATAATGCAGCTAGCTGGAGCTGTTGTTGATTTATTAGATTTACAGGGATCGTCAGTATCAATTTGTTTGGAAGATGGCTGGGATGTTACAGCACAGGTGTGATATAACTATAAGATAGTTGAATGAATAATTGTACTTAAAGGTTTTAACATAACTATTTTGTAGTTAAAATATTTTAATTTTTTGCAATCTTACTTATATTGAATGTAAAAATAAGTTCGTATATATATTTAAATATATTGAAAAAATCCAGGACTTACCTATTGAATATTTATACATATATATATAAATTTGTTTCATATGAAAATAATAATGATGTAAATATTTTTCAGATTTCTTCTATTGCTCAGTTATGTTTAGATCCATATTATAGAACTATTGAAGGATTTCGCATATTGATTGAAAAGGAATGGTTAGCTTTAGGTCATCGTTTTAGTCATAGATCAAATTTAACAAGCGGTTTTCCTACTAGCGGCTTTACACCAACATTTTTACAATTTTTGGATATAGTACACCAAGTAAGTTATTATACTATAATAAATAACACAATACGTCCAAAATTGCATGTACATTATTTTTTTCATATTGCATTTTGGTTTAATTTACTAAACTATATAACTTATTTAAATTCAAAAGAATATTTTTACTTATTAAAAAAATGATTTAGAATTTTGTTTCAAGTATAAAAAATTTATTTGTTTGATATGGAAGAGTGCCATATGTATCTAGATTTTACAAATTAATTCACCTAAGATTTCAACTAAAGTAATAATGTTTATTAAATTTATTATTATTAATGTTTATTAATAAGAAAAATGTAATTTAGAAATTGTAATTTCCAAAAAATAACTAATATACTTTATATAATATAATTATATAAATTATTGAAGTAATTATATTGTTTGGAAATAACAAATGTGATATTGCTTTTTAGTGTACATACTATATTTATTCTTTCTGAATTTTTTATACTGATAAAAAAAAACTGCAGTTTCTTATACATAATATAGCTTATGCTAACACCATAAATGGAAATCATTAAATGGAATATTAAAAAGAACAGGATATGATATTAAAAAAGTTTTTAACTTAAATTGTAGACTTTGGTACAGGACAATGTTTAATAATTTTCTCAAATGGTGATCAGATGAAATTTTTTTAACAAGCATCCATTCAGATAATAAATAGAAAGAAAACTAAGATATATTTTTTAGAATGTTGTAGTTACTATTCGAATCGTGTACTGCGTTCATTATACAGAATAAAAATATATCTAATTATTAAATTTTGTGTACTCGAATAGTAAACGGAAAATAATTCCGAGCCATTGCAATAGCTATTTCTAAATTTAATTCGACTAAAGAGGATTAATTCTTGAAAACTTGAAGCAATTGTGGTTCCAGAAATGTTAAATGACTCCGTTTCAGCTTGACATTGACTTCTGGGACACCCTGTAGATATATATATATATATATATATATATATATTTGTATATATATATATATATATATATATATATATATTTGTATATACAGTTTCACAAACCCTTCTTCTCTAATTATATTTTAGTATCATATTATAATTAGTTCAGAATGAAGTGCTTATTTGCAAAGTAATAAGTTAATATTCATTGAACATGTTTTTAACGACTTCGAACAATAGTATTTCTTTTTTGTGGATAAACTTTTTATGCAGGAATTCTTTTTTACAGATCCACAAACAATTTCCCTTGGCATTTGAATTTAATGAATACTATTTGACATTTTTGGCTTATCATTCCGTGTCTTGCCGTTTTAGAACATTTCTTTTAGATAGTGAATTAGAGCGAGTAGAATTTGGAATTGCAGCTGTAGAAGACAAAAGAGGTTCTTTGACCTCTCATCATAAGGTATTTTTATTTGAAAACTACTAAAATTAATATATTAATAAATCAGCTAAATTTTTCATTCAATTTGAAGTTCAGCAATTGGTTTTGCAAATTTAGTTTAAAAAATGAGAATAAATCTAGATTTTAAAGAATATTATTATTCATTTTCAGGGTGTTGATACTGGTTCTGATGATGACATGGTATATCCTGGAGGTAGATTAGCAGGTACAATGAATTCCACTCAACATAGTCTTGGCACATCTATATTTGACTACATTGAAAAGCAACATACCAGGTCACCTATTTTTTACAACTTTATGTACACTGCGGATCTCGAACATCCTGTATTAAGACCTCAGTCTTCATTACCATCATTGCATATATGGAAGTACTATATTCATGAAGATTTGGCTTTAGGCCCAAGCTATGATTTAGAAGTTGTAGCCATGGAATCACAGCAAGAAGAAGAAAATGCTGCTGCTGATGGTATTGTTCCAAATGTTAGAAAAGTTGTAACAATGGGGTATGTATTTTTCTTTTTCATTAATTATATCCTTATATTTATATATATTTGCATATATGAATTTATGTATTATTATGTGTATTACTAACTTTTTTGGGGGGGCGAACGTTTCACACAACGAACTTTGCTTCACGCAACGACTTAAGCTTTGGTAATGTAGTAAAAAATATATTGTTTAAGTTAGTTCAAAGAGTGGACCTTAGAAATTTTTGCTCCTGCTTTAAAAATATACTTATTGCAGAAGAAGCTCACACTTAGAACACCCTCGATATTGGATAATTCTTATTTACACCCCATAATTTTTGAGATTATTTTGGAAAAGGATTATCAAACACATAAAGAAAAGATAAGTCAGTCAATTTCTTATGTCATTTTCGGCAGGTCTTAAAGAAGAGAATAAAACATAGAATAAGGAGCTAAATGGGCTAAAAAAGGAGCAGTGTCAAATATAATTGTCCATTAACCTATTTTGGAAATTAATATTTTTTTGAATGTCTTAATTTGACTAATGTTGTACTTGAAGTTGCTTTGCAATTTGATTTCAATGTTTTGCTAATTATTATTAGCAAGCATAGATTAATATGTGTGTTTATGTAAGTTTTTCCATTTTTTAGGTATGATAATATTGATAAATGTGTACCAGATGCTTTCACACATCTCTTAAATGACATTCATAGATTAGAAACTGAACTGGGTCATTTACCACAGAAATGGAAATTTTTATGGGACAAACTTGAGCTACCAACTACAGATTCGTTAACAGTATGAGATACAAAATAAGAAAAAAATATAAGAAGTAGATATACATATTTTTGTATAAATGTGATTTTTTTTATTTCAAATGTTCACAGCGTCATGCTTCCTTCAGTAGTGCAATGGTTAGATCTCATGGAAGATTTCTGCACAAAAGAAGTACATTAGAAATATTAATGAAAGGAAAATTAGTAGGTGCTCAAGAAAATGCACTAGTTTATTCTCATCCACATAGGTAATTTATTTATTAAACTGATTGAGTGATTCCATCAATATTAATTCTAGAGTAATGGATTCCAAATGGAATCTTCAATTCCAAAATTAAAATTTTTTAGATGAAGTGGTTTCGTGCTTGTTTCAAATATGTACTTAAAGAATACTTTGAATTTATAGATTTGATCGCCACAGCTATACAACTCCTACATATTGTGATGTATGTGCTGGTGTACTGTGGGGGCCAGTAAAGGTAAATACAATTACTGTTCAGGTTTATTGTTTCTTTATTGTTTCTACCCTATTAACAGTAATCTGTGACATCATTTCATTTTAAGACTGGTTTGCGGTGTATGGATTGTGGTTATAGCTGTCATGAAAAATGTGCTGGTGCCTTCCCTAAAACATGTACTAAATATAAATCAGTGGCAGACAGTACTCTTGCTTCTCAAACATTAACTAGATCTTCTGGTGATAATGGTTCTGTAAACTCAAGTAAGTAAAATTTATAAATTACTACTAATTTATGAATTTATAATAATGAGAAGTGTATAATATATATACAGTAGAACCTCGATTAACTGGACTAATTGTTGTCGATAGTCAACCGGATAATCGAAAATCCGGATAATCCAATGTATGAATAATAATGATGTGTATTTATCAAAAATAACAAATACATATCATATATATCAATGAAAATCAATGTTTAATGAGAAATTAACATTTTCTTATGTATGTACATATATATTTACTTACAAAGATTATATTACATACATATACTAAACTGCGAATCTGTATAACTGAGATCCGGATAATCGAGGTTCTACTGTGTACATATATATATATATATATATATATATATATATATATATATATTAGGGTGTGAGTAAAGTTAGTTAGCCACAAAAATGTGAGTAAAGTTAGTTAGCCTCTGAACTCGCACTGTACAGAAGTCGTGCAGAAATTACCTAACTTTACTCACATTTTTGTTTAAATAAAACTGTCATTTTTCTTTTTACATCATACAAAAAATTATAAAAAATTCATGGTGTTGACAAGTTAGTTGTATAAATGTTAGTGCTAATTTCTAGTGTTGTGTACACTTCTCTAGATGTAACCTACCAACGTTAATATCCACTGATGATGACATTAAATTGAATGTCGAAACGTTTGGAATTAAAGATTAATTTATAAATCTTTGCTTTTTATTCTTTGATGTATCGCCCCACAAGAACTTACTCATATATCTCAACATCAAAATTAACAACTATATCATATATATATATATATATATATATATATATATATATATATATATATATATATATATATATATACTAAAACAAGTGTGTTGAGTCAGGCAATATCACCAAGTAAAAAAAAACTAAAGCAATTAAGAAAACAGCTTTATTAATCCATATGTTTCAGTCTTCATCGAGACCGTCATTCAGTGAAAAACTAAAAAGTTTATTTGTAATTAATTTAGGAAAGGAATTTGATACAACATATTGGACTTAAAAATAGGTACTTAAAGACAAAAACAATTAAACACTATATTACACTAATTGACTAATTGAAATTCTGTTTCTAGTTATGGATTGGATCAAATGTTGAGGATAAGAATTTGATCTGAACATTTGATCCAATCCAATCCATAACTAGAAACAGAATTTTATACTTCCAAACCGCCATAACTTTTCAACTCGCAATCCAAACCGCGAAAATTACGTCGGAACTATTACCTTACCCTTCATAAACGATCTATACTACGCATGGAAAAAACTCATCATTAAACATAAAATTAGAGTAATCTTTACCTCAGATAACACTCTTTCAACATTATTCACTAAATTAAGATCTAAATTCGATCCGAAAATTTTAAGTAATTTAATTTACAAATTAAACTGTCAAAATTGCCAAGAATTTTACATTGGCTAAGCTAGCCAAAATTTACTCGAAAAATAATTAAAAAAACAAAAATCAGTATAGAACAACATTATCAGATCACATTAATATTCTTCAACATAACATTGATTTTCTAAACTCGAGTATTTTATATTTTGAAACTAATATATTTAAAAGAAGATTTAGTGAAGGTTGTATAATATCGTTGAGTAATAAAGCAGTCAACAAGAGACTTGACAGCTATTCACTCTGCAATGATTACAAAATATTCCTGGACATATCTTCAAACAATATTTTTACTGAATAAGCGTATACCTTTTTATTACTTTCCATAACAATATGATTTTACCAGTTTGCACATTTTTAAAAAAAATCTTTGTAAACGCATTCATTCTGCGTTTTGACTTCAACAAGCATGTACATAAATTTAGTTTTTTAACTCTAATTCATAAATAGTTGAACTTGAAATAACTTGAAATGTTAGTTTTTTAACTCTAATTCATAATTAGTTTTAAATGTTTGAACTACTAATAGCTTGGTGTTAATATTGTGTCAATTAGTGTAGTATAGTGTTTAATTGTTTTTATCTGTAAGTACCTATTTTTAAGTCCAATATGTTGTATCAATTTCCTTTCCTGAATTAATTACAAATAATCTTTTTAATTTTCCACTGAATGACGGTCTCGATAAAGACTGAAACGTATGGATTAATAAAGCTGTTTTCTTAATTGCTTTAGTTTTTTTTTACTTGGTGTTATTGCCTGACTCAACACACTTGTTTTAATATATATCAACACCAAATTTACTTATTATATTTTAAATTTATTTATTATATATATTTTTTTTGATGGGTTATTTAGAATCGGGCAGTAACACCAAGTAAAAAAAACTAAAGTAGTTTTGAAATACTTTATTTATCCATACGTTTCGGTCTTCATCGAGACCGTCATTCAGTGGAAAAACTTAAAGATTTTATATGATGTAGGAGGAAAATAATATAAAGTTATCGAACTTATATATAAGTACTTACAGAATTAATTATACAAAAATACACTACACTATTACACTGTGATAAACCAAGCTATTAATAACTGGAACATTTAAACTAATTATTTTTTGACATTTTTTTGGTTACATTATAGTGAGAAAATGTATTACTTCTATTTGTTGTTCTGTGCATAAGCAGATGTTGTGCATTGTCATTTTATGCATATGGAACGTTCATAACATATATTATGCTCAATAATAGAGAAATAACAGAATTTTTTTCCAGGTGTTGCAACTATTCCAACTTCCAGTCAACAATACTACGAACAATTCAGCAGCAATGTAGCTGAAAATAAAACACATGTGGGTTATCTGTATAAAAGAGGTACTCTTCTAAAAGGCTGGAAACAGAGATGGTTTGTTTTAGATTCAATTAAGCATCAACTGAGGTATTATGATGGATCCGATGACTCCCATTTTAAAGGATATATAGGTAACTTAATACTTGTGAACAAAAAAAGAGTATTTTGAAAGTTGTATATCAGGAGATTTTTTTTTGTTCAGGTTGAGATATTAAAAAACTAAGTAAACTGTTATATAAATTTCAGCCATCAAATGTGATTGTCAATTTTATTTTACTATTGAATGTTGAAAATACATTCAACAAAATGAAAAGAGCAACATTTTTTAATTAACACAGTAACATTGCAAAATAGTTTTAAATTACAATTATGAATGGAATATCACATACAAGTTTTATTCATACGTATAGTTTTGAATATATTATTTATTAAATAATGTTTATAGATTTGGCTGAAGTACAATCAGTAGCACCTGCTGCACCGGCCCCAGGGCCACCTAAAAAATCTGAAGACAAATCATTCTTTGATGTGAGTATTCTATATACATTTAATGAAAAGAACACCAATTATAATTAAAAATATTTTAGTTGCGAACAAGTCGCCGCACTTACAATTTTTGTGCGGGTAACTCTACCATAGCTCAAGAGTGGATTGAAAAAATACAGGCATGCCTACAGTAATCAAAGATTTCTGTGTATTGGATTTATTTTTTGTTATGATAAAAACTGCAAACAAAATCGTATTTACAATTGAAGAAACTGTTTGTGAATTAACCGATAGTCATGATTAATTTTCGTGAGAACTTATTTCACAGCAGCCTTCTTATTTTAAAAAATATCCTTCAGTGTACAAACATGTAAAAATAGTTTTAATTCTGAATTATTGTTAAGTAGTTTTTTTTTATCTCAATTGATTTTTAGTTGTAATTCATTTATACCTTTTTGTATATTTTTTATATAAAAAAAAAAAATTGTATGCACATTGGTCATAAATATCAATATGTTTATATATAAAATACATAGTTATATATAATATCATATATATATATATATATATATATATATATATATATAATATGAAAAAACTAATTATCAATTAAAGGCATATCGAAATTTTATTGTTTTCCATATATTAGCAACGGCCATGAAGTCACACCTAGTTTTTTTTTAAATAAAATGTTATGTTTGAATTAATTCTATTTCGTTTATGATATTTAATGAAATATATTACATATTTATTAAAATGCAAATGTGTGTGATACTTATATAATTTTTTATCGATATAAACAATATACACAGCTTTATTTATTTTTGTTATTTACTTCGCTTCATATTAGTATTTTTTGTATTGTTATTTTGTTCTTGATTTCGCCATCCATATTTGGGATGATTACCACGCCCTCCTAGTTTCTTAGTGCCTTTGCTTTTGAATTTAGATGCTTTTTGTAATCTGTCTTTACTTGCATATTTTGAGTTCTTATTTCTATCATCTGTTTCTGTGTCAGTCCTCAATTTCTTATTTTTATTATAGCGTGCTGGGGTTTTGTATAATCTTTTTGTACCTCGAATTTGGGAATTAAACAAATCTGCAATAATGTATTTAGTTATTTGTGAAATAAGGAATAAATAACAGCTGTAAAATTTAGCTTATTATTCGTTATGATAGAAGTGTCTATGAACTAACTCATTGTAATTTGCAAAAACTTCTAAATTAACAGTTTTATACTGAACTATATACTACCTCTATCAGGGTTGGCTCCTACTTCATCCTTGTAATACTCAGCATCATCATCAACTTGATCATCATTTGCATTCGCTTCATTCACTGCCTTTTCCATTAATTTATCAGTTTCTCGAATTCCCATTCCAGCTAAAGATCTTTGCTTCAACTTCAGCTTTTCATTTTCTTTCTTTTCAACATTCTTTTCCTGCAATTTCTTTCGTTTCTCTTTCAATTTTCTAAAAAAAAAACACAGGTTATAAATTCATCTATGTATAATTTATAACAAAAAACAACTCACTTTTTTTCCAGGCGTTTCTTAAGAATCATTTCTTTTTCTTCTTCACTCTTAACTATTAGCTCATGGAACAAAACTTCACCATCCATTAACCCATCTTCAACTTTCATAAGTTGCAATGTCATTCTGCAATAATAAATAGTTTAAACAAGAAAATCAAAACTTTTTATTAAAAAAAAATTAATCATAATTATACCTCGGACCCAACTCAGACAAGCGAATAGAAGATTTTTGATCTTGTAAATTACCACGTGAAGATAATTTTTGAGGTAAGTTAACTTGCCCTGTTTCATCGTCCTCAAATTCACTTTCTGATAAAGCACCAGTTCTATAAAGTTTTAATATGAAAGAAACAGCTAATATATTAATATTATGAATATACTACTAACTTTGCAAAAAAATCTCCCATATCTTCACACCTAGCTAGATTTGGGATTTTGCCTTGTATTACTTTCTTTACTCCTTTTGACAATCCTATTGGTACTACTTTAATTATATAATGTCTGAAGTCTATTAATTTTGTTGTTGAATTATAGTTTAACAAAATACATCTCCTAATAGTACTCAAGTTAACATTGTTTAAATTTATAGTAGGAAACATATTTTGGAAAGTTGTTGCCATTAATTTCATATGCATTCCTTCTCCAGCGAAATTGTTTAATACTACAAGTGGTGAGTGTTTGAAAGCTTCTTCAATAACTAACTGCTTCTTCAGCGTTGATATAACATCTCGCGACAAACAATATGAATGAACCTTAAAATAATGTATGAAAGAATGAATCACATGATCTGTTTTTTCTTATTATTAAATATAACTAGCAAACCTTGAATGATAACGTTGGACCTCTTGGAAGTCTGGCAATTTTAAAAAATAATGATGTTTCAGTTTTTGAGAATGCACACAAATGAGATACATGAAGTAATCCCGCAATAGATACAAAATCTTTAAGTGTATTTTTCTTACGAACCTAGTAATCAGAAAAACATTGTATATGTAAAAGGAGAAATATGTAAATAAAACTTAAAAAAAAATTATTGTACTTTTAGAGATGAAGCAGTGAAGGGTTCCATAACCCGACGAAAATCTTTTGTTAACTCCCGCACATGTAATTCAGGTAATCCGCGATTTATCACGAATGAATGTGGTGCTCTGAGTAATTCATCTGGTTCAACATCAGCAATTTGTTTATTTTTTTTTACACATTTGCCTCTCTTAGTTTTCATTTTGAAACGATTACACGTGTTTTAGGCTCTAGTTTGGCATAACCTAAATATCTTGTTTAAAGTGACATTTGTCCATAGATGAAAAAGCTGGAGCAACCAAAGTCGCCTACTCTCATTTTCTTGACTGTCAAAAGCGCAGTGCTTTATCAACACTTGTCTTTGTTTGTTTGATGAAATTGAAGATATTTTCTCAAAAAGTGAAAAAGTGGTGATCCATGGAATATAGACCAATTTGTTCACGAAATTGAAGGATGTGTGAATTTTTAATTAACTAGCTGTAAGTGAAATTCTGTCTTAATGCAATTAAGGCATCGTGCCTTAAGGCAAATTGCTGGAACTTCCCGTACCAAAAATTATTATTTTTTTAAAAACGATTAACATTTTTGAAAAAAATTTTCTTTGAAAAAATAAGATTTTTGAGAAACTATAAATTGGACAAAAAATTACTTTTTTTGAAAAAAAAAATTTAAAAAAAATATTTAAAAAAAATTTTTTTTTGAAAAAACAAATGTTTTTTTTATTTTGACATATTTTGGAAGATCTGAACTTTTTTTCAAAGCAATCGCACTGCTTTAACTGCATAGAGACAAAATATAAAGCGCGTAAGCGCCGCGTCGCTGTCTAACGGATAAACATTGGTACGGAACCCATAGGAATGTAAACAAAATTTATACTTATTGCTAAAATCTCTATAAAATATCTGATAATTTGATGTGCATATGTCTAATGATAATTTTTGACCGCTAAATGGCATTTTTTTTACTTTCATTGTTAGATCTCCGAAACCGCTAGACATGCCCTTATGAAAATTTTATCAATTCTTCATCTTGTCAATACAAGTAAAATGTTTTTTGAATTATTAAAATCGGACGCTTCGTTCTTTTAAAAACTGAGGTATCGTTTTTGGCACTTTTTGCCCCATATCTTCGGAACGGTTAAACCTGCCTCCGCCAAAAACTAATCAGCACGTCTCCTTATCAATACGAATCGAATGTTTTTTGAATTATTCAAATTGCTTCATCCCGAAATTGTCGACGAAAAATTGTTCCCGAAATCATCGACGAAAATTTGTATCCGCACACACATACATACACGCACACACACACACACACACACACACACACACACACACATACATCTGAAACGTAAAGATATATAACATTTTTCATTTTCTGTTTTTTTGCGATTGCTATAACTTACGCTACGGGAAGTTAATAAATATACATATTTACTTGTTCGAACTGCACCTTATTTCTGAAAGTTTACTAAATATGCGACAGATGTTGCATCCCTAATTCGTATGCATTTTTTAATAGCACATTACATTCTCTAAAATATAGAATCATGTGCCTATGCTAACTGTCCATCGTTGCTTTCGGGTACATATTAGAACCATTATACTCTTCTTTTATCTATGATTAGAACTTCGGTCTTGCTTCATGAAGATTCTAACGAAACTTTTGAACCCTTTTGAATTGAGGGAAACATGTGGAGTTTTGACATGAAACATGTGGAGTTTTGAATTGAGTGAAAAACTTTTTTTCCAACACAATTTTTTTTTCTAAAAAAGTGGAAAAGTGGTAATCCATGGAATATAGACCAATTTGTTTACGCGATTGAAGGATGTGTGAATTTTTAATTATTAAATATATTTACTTGTTCGACTGCACCTTATTTCCGAAAGTTTATTAAATATGCGTCAGATGTCGCATCCCTTATTCGTATGCCTTTTTCAATAGCACATTCTCTAAAATATAGAATGCATGTGCCTAAGCTAACCGTTCATCGATACTTTCGGGTCAAAAGGGGTCAAAAAGTGACTATAATATCGATTTACATCCCGGCAAAACCCACTTGACTCAAATACACACGTCTTAATGGCAGGAGACTTCAACGCGCAACATACATCTTGGAACTGCAACTACAACAACGTAAACGGAATCCGGCTTCACGAATATCTGACCGAACACAACACCACGGAACACAACTACACTATCCTGACACGGCAACCAGATACGCCACCGTACAGACACACCATCACAGCACGATCGATCTGGCCTTGACAAAAAATCTTCACATAACGTCCGAACCCATAACTAGAACACTTTTCAACTCTGACCATAATCCTGTTTTTATGACTCTGATCTCTGATCTCTGACAGACTCGACGTCGACCGTACTCCAGAACGCAACATTTTAAATTATTCCAGAGCCAACTGGCCACTTTTTAGAGAAATTATTACAGATAATATAAGACACACGATACCCATAGAGACCAATACAGACATAGAGGAGGCTGTGACACATCTGACACGGACGATCACGGACACCATCCAACACACAATACCGCTGCGATACGCAAATACATCCACATTTGACACATTACCCCAACAAATATTAGTAAAAATTAAATTAAAGAACAATATAAAGAAACTGTGGCAACGTACTGGTGACAGACTACTAAAAGAACACGTGAACAGACTGACAAAAATTATTTATAATGAGATACGTGAGACATGTCCAACGCAGACTTAAGACGAGACGTACACAATTCTATTCAAAATTTTACTGAACAATTTAATGACAAAGACTTACGAATAGACCCTGCCACAGTTTCAGAAATAAAATCGACAATCAGAAAACTACCGAACAGGAAAGCACCCGGACCGGACGGACTAAAAAATATTATACTGATTACACGACTGGTTAACCGTATAATGGCCAAAGGCTACTTTCCTGCTTCATGGAAAACATCAACCATATTTCCTATCCTGAAGCCGAAGAAACAGCCAGACTCTCCGCAAAATTACAGACCAATCAGCCTCCTCAATACTATGAGCAAAGTTACCGAAAAGATACTGTTTAAACGCATCAACAGACACATCAGACGAAACAAGATTACACCAGACACACAGTACGGCTTCAAGGAACAACACTCTACGTTACATCCACTCACACAGCTAATAGAAAACACTGTACTCAACTTTAATAGACGAATCCATACCGGATTGGCGCTGCTCGATTTCGAGAAAGCCTTCGACACTATCTGGATGGGCGGACTGATACATAAATTCATAACCCTTAACTTTCCACCATACATCACAAAACTACTCCATTCTTACCTCAAAGACCGTAATTTTACAGTACAAGTAGACAACACACCCTCGACGATTAAACAAGTGACGGCGGGAGTACCGCAGGGCTCGATCCTGGGACCGTCCTTGTTTAACGTCTATATCCACGACATGCCCACTGACGCCGACACAACACTGTTGACATTTGCTGACGACACTGCCATTTACAGATCATCACGATCACCTACGCTACTGACTACAAAAATACAAAGACATATAGACGCCTTGACAAAATACACGGAAAAATGGCAAATTAAAATTAACCCTTCTAAAACAGAAGCAATTTTCTTTACAATAACCGTTGGTCCATTACACTTACTGACTTGACGAAACTAAAGGTAATGGGCCATGAAGCTGAGTGGTTCAAGGAAGTCAAATACCTTGGCGTAATCTTGGACTATAGACTCAGCTTCACAAAACATACGAATACAAAAATTGGACAGGCTTACGGGATGATGAATCTACTGAGACCTCTTTTGAACCACAACAGCCCGCTAAGCGTGAAGAACAAGCGGGCACTTTTGACACTCATAAGACCATTACTGACATACGCCGCTCCGGCATGGAACACAACCAAGACCAACAGACGCAGACTACAAATAGCGCAGAACAAAGCACTGCGACTGGTACTACACAAATTAAGGGACCCACTGACGAGACACTACTACCCAACGAAATATTTACATGAACAGACGGACATACCGACTATACTCAAACACATAAAAAAGCTCACTGAAATTTTTTACCGAAAGTGTAGGGATCACGATAACAGTACCATCCGCGCGTTAGGCCAATACACATCAGAAATTTTTTTGACCAAAATTTTTTGGGCCAATTTTTTTTTTCCAAAATTTTTTTGACCAAATTTTTTTTTTCCAAAATTTTTTTGATCTATGTATTGAGTGTCGACTCAATTGTTTGTTTAAATGAGCAATCAATGGGTCGTCTCATCTGGACTTTTTTTGGATCCGACTTTGGTCGACTAGCGATTGCGACAGATTTCAAAGTCTTCGTCGTTCTCCGAGTTAGCTTGATTTTTGACATTAAATTTGAAGCAAAAATGTTAATTTATTTGAAAAGTTTAAATACAAGTTTTTACTAAATTTTATGTTATTTTTTTCTATATCTAACTCTCGTTGTGCTGTATTGATGATAAGTTATGTATTTTCTACAACTCATAACGCACGCTGTGCAGTACTGCCTTAAATTAAATTCCTTTTATTGATTGTCGCGTACGGGACACTCTTGTGGGGGTACCCGCATCGCCACCTCGGCTCATTTTCCTAGCTGTATTGCACGTCGTGTACAAAATCGCAAAGTAATTTTACTGACTAACATTTTCCTATCTGTATTACGGTTACCACAGCAACCGCTATGGTAACCGTAATATTATTTTACAATTACAATTTTTTTTCCCAAAATTTTTTGGACCAGAATTTTTTTGACCAAAAATTTTTTTCCAAATTTTTTTTTCCCAAAATTTTTTTGACCAAAATTTTATTCCCAAAAGTTTTTTGACCAAAATTTATTTGAACAAAAATTTTTTTCACAAAATTTTTTTGACCAAAATTTTTTTGACCAAAAATTTTTTGGACTGAAATTTTTTTGACCAAAATTTTTTTGACAAAAAATTTTTTTCCCAAAATTTTTTTCCCAAAATTTTTTGGACCAAAATTTTTTGGACCAAAATTTTTTGGACCAAAATTTTTGGCATGGCACGAGATTGCCATGTTTAAAATGTTTTTGCCATGTTTATGTTGTTTGCGTCAAAGATAAATGCATTCGGCATTGATGCATACAGCACACGCTTCGAAATACTGCAAGGTCGATTATGAAATAACGACCTAGCATTTGTTTCATTGCAATTGGTACTATGTACTGAGTGTCGACGCAACTGTTTGTTCTAATAA